AGCCCCTACTCAATCAAATTGAGAGGTGCTGAATTTAACAAGGGAATGACTAAAGATAAAATACTTTGTTCGTGTTAGAAATCTTGTTTTACTAGCAACTATTTTTAATGAATCCTGCAACAAAATATGTATGCTCATACATTCAAGTTCCTGTACTTTATTTTCTGTCAAATAAGACTCTGAACTTACGAATGTTGTAATCTGTACGTGCGTGTGTCTCACTGAGAATTTGGACCTTAGCCTTGGCACTTGCTACCCTCAACCTCAGAGACCCCAAATGCGTAGGCATTACTCCAACTATTTCCCCAAATCGGTTTTATTTTTGTACTAGGAGTATATGGGGCTCAAAGTCCTACATATAACACCTTCATGAGTTAGTGTTGTATTTAAGCCTGGAACAAGTTTTTTCATTTAAACAGCCAATGTTCCTGAGGAGCAAGAAATGTTTTATGTTCTCTCACTGAAAGTGGTCTTGAATCACCAGAGCCTTGAGGTAGAGCTCATGCTGCAAGTTTCTGGTCATTTGACCATCCTGAGGAATAACCGCTGAAGAAAGTGATACACTGGTAAAAATCCTCCCCCTGCCCCTGTCTATCCCTCAGACATCCAGATCAAACCCTTACATCCATGTTCCTAAAACGACCTCATAAGCAAATCCCATCTCAGTAGCATCCTGCACTTATAATGAGCAAACACTTAAATTGTTAATGTATATTGCAATTTTAAAACTTCAAACACAAATACATAAACCAAAGAGTTACACTCAGGCTGAGATTTCTGCCTCCTGACAAGCTGTACTCAGAACACCTGAGGACCAGAAGCAGTACCAGCTGGGGTGGATTTTCTCCCTCTGTTGGGTTAATACAACTTTTTGCATGGCCATGCTGAGAAATAGGTCGGGGAACTGAAAGAATTGGTCCAACTTAAAGAAAAAACGATCAGTAGAATTGCCAAAGCAGAGTTCAAAGCGTAGGTCCACAAGCAATTGCTCTGGTGGCAACAAGCTGTGGGAATAGCAGCAGAGCAGGACAGAGCAGCCCCCTTATGAAACGATTTCCAGACTTTCCCCATCATAAAGCTGTGGCCCACGAGTCTGTAGGGAGCCATGAAGAGAAAAATATATGCTGCTCTGATTCAGAGCACCAGCACACGCCGTAAAGATAGACTGTTTCCAAACGTGGTTACCCAGCAGAGTGAGTGACTGAGACATTACAACTCTGATCAGTGAAGAGGTTAGAAAAAAAATAAAAATCTCACAGTAAACTTTTGAATAGAACTTTCCAACTTAAAATTTGTTAAACTACAGTACAATTTATTTATTTTTTGATGGTTATTGGCAAATATAAACACTAGGTCTTACTTAGGCAAAGTCAAGTTTCCACATAAACTGCCAATCTAACGCCTACTCACGTGGTATTATACTTTATTTGCCACAAATAGGAAGACCCAGAAATTGAAAACTACTTACTTCTTGTCTCATTCCGTCTGTTATGAGGTATTAACTTGTTTGTTTCCAGCAGAAATCTTGAGCTAGTTCGAGAGCCTGGTCTTTCTTGACTGTCTGACCTTACATCATCCAAGTGAAGTGGCACCCATTTCTGCTTGTTGCCTTGAAAAGTTAATATATTACTCTTTATTATAGTACTACTTGAGGTTTCAGCTCCTGAAAAGACTCTACAGAATTCTTCTTGTACAACTAGTAAAAGTTAATTTCAAAGTTTAAAAACTGGGAAAAGTTTAACATTGAGATTTTAAGATATGATGTATGACTAAACAATAAAAAACGCAGTAGTAATAAATTCAGCAAACTGAAAGGTAACCTTATCTAAGATTTAAATACATGAAATGAAGGTGAGCTTTTTTATTTAATGAATTTTTAGATGTGAGCTCCATTACCAAGAATTTATAGCTACGTAAGTGTTAAATATATACAGTGAATTCGTTACTATATAATTTAACAACTTGCATATGAAACTTAAAAGGTAAAAAATAACATATCAAGTTCACCACCAAAATAATATTTTAATCACAAACCATAAACATTGTCCTGAGAATTTAGCTGTCGTACTGTATTTTTACCTTGAGATATTCAGATTAAGTTCATTCATGTGCATCAACAATTATTAACAAAGCTGTATTTTGTTGTAGGCTGGCCTAAAACATCCAGTAACCATCTATTTAATGATAATATTTGCTGTTCTGTACTTGATTGGTATTGTGGGCTTCATACCTTTGTAGCCAAGAAATATAAAAGAAATATAAGCAAATACATAAAATGCCTTATCCACACTGGGGGTGGGGGAACGGGACAAAAAAACCAAGAGATTGTAGCTGTAGAATGCTTTACTTTATATTTCCACTTAGACTGAAAAAATTAAAAGCTATAAAAGTTTTGGGTTTAAGTATATACATAGGAAGATTAACAAATCTAAACAACAAAGGTCTTTAGGATCTGAAGAAATACCAGCAGGGAAGCAAGAAAAAAAGCAACAGCTGATGGCAGCAATATCTTAAAACTCTCTCAGCTGTTTCTCCAGCCTACTGACCAAACGAAACACAGGTTTGCTTCCTATTTTTAATGTAACAGATTGATTCAAAAGGAAATGAATAACCTGGTTTAGTTTTCAAGTGATCACTTCAAGGTGTAAGCCAATAGTAAAACATGAAAATTAAAGCGTTAGTATATATAGTGAACACAGACACATACATATGAAGTTAAATTAACATAATGCTATCTATTTAGGGAAACAAAGATATGAGAGACAGTAATGGTTTGTACAGCCATGCTAAAATTTTCCAGAAATTCTCAGCTCTCCAGGCACCATCAGTAGGACACGAGCTGCTTTTTCCCCAGAATTCCTATTTGACTAAACAAAACACTCCAAAACCCGAGTAAGGAAGCCTGTTTCAAGCTTCCTAGCAGAAAGCAATTTATCCTGTTATCACCTAGAAAATGCAAAACAGAAAAAGTTTCATCAAGTCATTCAACTGGAATTCATGTAACTGTATCAATGGTGACTTACTGCATTACACCTAGTGCCCAGACTGACCTTTTTTCCTTTGGTTATTAGTTTGAGCTTCATCTTCGCTAGTGTTATCTCCTGGACCATCTGGCTTTGCCTCTGGGTTGTCCTTGATTCCATTATTGCTTTTTTGATCAGATTTCTCCTCCTTTTCTCTTCTATTTGTTGGCTTCTTACTGTGACTTACAGTCTTACACTGCAAGAGATACTGGTAATTATTTCCAAGAGCATAGCTGCTGGGAGCAAAAGGTGTAAGTTTCCTTTACCGATTAAAATTCCTTCGCTATTACCTGTTCTCAGCCTCTTCAGGAGGGTGAGTTTTAAGAACTGTGATGTTTTGTAAAGTCTCATTTTAAATAGTTCTATTTTCTGCTAACTTGGCAAGACTATCAAAAGAATTTTTAGACTAAGGAAGGTTTTGTTTTGTTTTTTTCAATTGAAGATGTAGAATTACAGAGTGCACAACAATCATGTTTCAGCACCTCAGAACTGAAATTTCTTTTATAGGAAAGAAATATTACTCACCAGTACCTACTGTTCAGACTGATTATCTTTTAAAAGCTACGCTTACAGAATGCTGAATGGTAAATCAGAAATTCCCATGATGCTGTACAATCTCAACAGCATGCCAAATGTTCATGTAAACTATAAGGAGCCATAGGTCTTAACTCTGACAATTCTGTTCCACTAAATCAGAACATGAACCAAAGATCACAGGATGTGGAGGTGTACGGTTACAGATTTATTTTTTCCCCACATTAGAATACGGCATTTACTAAGAACTGTGTGCCTTTGAGTAGTGCCAGCATCCTGCAGATCATCACTTCTTGGAAATCCCACAGAATAACTAACAGGTTTCAAAGAAGGCAAAATGAACAGCATTTTAGCGAATAGCGTTTTCCCTGGTATCAATACAGGCTGGGTGGAGGATGGATTGCGAGCAGCCCTGTGGAGAAAGACTTGGAGGTACTGGTGGATGAAAAGCTGGACATGACCCAGCCATGTGTGCTGGCAGCCCAGAAAGCCAACCGAGCCCTGGGCTGCATCCCAAGCAGGGTGACCAGCAGGTCGAGGGAGGGGATTCTGCCCCTCTGCTCTGGTGAGACCCCCCTGCAGTACTGCCCTCAGCTCTGGGGTCCTCAGCACAAGGAGGACATGGACCTGTTGGGGCGAGTCCAGAGGAGGTCACGAAGGTGATCTGAGGGCTGGAGCACCTCTGCTGTGAAGACAGGCTGAGAGAGTTGGGGTTGTTCAGCCTGGAGAAGAGAAGGCTCTGGGCAGACCTTAGAGCAGCCTCCCAGTACATAAACGGGGCTTATAAGGAAGATGGGGACAAACTTTTTGATGGGGCCTGTTGCAATAGGACAAGGGGTAATGGTTTTAAACTAAAAGAGGGGAGATCCAGGCGAAATACAAGGAAGAAATTTTTCAGGATGAGGGTGGTGAGGCACTGGCACAGGTTGCCCAGAGAGGTGGTGGATGCCCCATCCCTGGACACATTCACGGTCAGGTTGGACGGGGCTCTGAGCAACTTGATCTGGTTGAAGACGTCCCTGCCCACGGCAGGGGGGTTGGACTAGGTGACCTTTAAAGGTCCCTTCCAACCCAAACCATTCCATGATTTGCTATAATATCTACCTGCAAAATTAAGCTTCACAGACACTTCTGCCAAACAGAAAGAATACTCCTATGTTATGGAGATAGCTTTGAACCTGTTGGAGTACATACAGTAGATACTGCAGTACGATGCCACAATTAATTTGAATGCAAAGCCTTGCCCTAGACAAACCAATCCAAATTAAATACAAACTAAATGTTATTTGGTTTAACATACACTACATGAATTTGTGTACTAAAATTCCCACATACTCAAGTCAGCAAAAGGTTAATTAACATCTACACAATTCAATCTAGATCATGTGGTAAAACAAAAAAATCTTTTCAAAAAATTGTCTTAAAGTAAATTATTTCAGAGAGCAAACACTAAATGTGTATATTCTTACGAAACACTACATATTTGTCTCTTAGTCACTCTCATTAGTACTGTACAGACATCATTAATCACATCAAAATTTGACATAACACCAAGTAGATGCCAAAGACCTGCAGTACTAAAGCGAATGCAAAAGATACGGGTGCATGTTTTCTTAAGCCACTAAAATCAGATTTTCCAAAAAGAGAAAAAAAAGAGATGCTAAAATAAACGTACTCTAGACTCAGTCACAAATCAACATTAGCATTTACAAATATTATTAAAGGATACAAACTTGAATCCTTTCAATGCTGTTCAGTCTCTCAGATCTAAGCTCAGCAGACCCTCCCCCTTTCTGAGCATCAGAACACGATAGAAAATATCGTTATTTTTGGACGCAGTTACAGAGTTTCTCTGCACTGTATCTCACACATTACAACTGGTGTCTCTTAAAAAGTTACAAACACAAAGTACTGTGTAGTGGAATTGACTGCACAACCTTCAAGAAAAGCATTTTTGAGTTATTAGGCTGTAGCAAACAAAAAGGTTGTGCATCTGAGGTATAAAAAGCACAGGTGAAATTATTTCTACTCTTATGAGTAACTAAGGAAGGAGTCTGACAGGCAGCTGAGCGTTATACACCTCTAATGCCACCAGATAAATTAGCAGATTTAGGTTGCAAGTCACATGTCCTTCACAATATCATTAAATATATCACCCCTGTCTCCTTCTGAAGTGGTCATCTCTTCTATTCACAACATCTCAGCAACTGACAGGAATACTGATGATGGAGAAGCTTACAAACGCTTTAAAAAAAAAGTGCAAATCAAGGGTCTTGTATAAATCCTAAACCTCGATGGGATGTATGCACACACCAAAGTATTCTAACTGGTGTCTAGGCAACAGAACAAGTTGCTTTATTGGCATATAATCTATTCAGGTTTTAAAGATTCTTCTAGCAATCTCAAAGATTTCCTTTGAGATCCTGTAGAACAAGCTACTAGAGGAGGTAAATTCTACCTAGCAGTAAACATCACGTTGTGTCAAATCCACAGACATCTGTCATTTTGACCAGCAATGCTAAAAGCCAAGTTAGACACTTGAAAATGTTTTGTTGCTGACACAAATAACAGAGTTATGACAATCAGCTGGGGAAGAAGGGAGGGTGCTAGAAACTGAGGCCCCAGGACAAACTACTTGTGCCAAACCACCTTAATACAGTCCTTTTCAGTTTTCATTTGAACACTTTGAATTATAATATAATGTACATTGCTGAACCCAAATCTCCTGGTTTCCCTCAGCCAGAAAACAGTAAAAGCATCACAGGGGTGCTGCAGAACTAAAACAAAGACTGAAATGGCACCTCATAGCTTGCAATCATCTGTGCTCTGTTCTTGCTTAAATACCAAAAAAGAGGTGTAATACATATTACGCACTTATCACTTGAGATAAAGTGAAAGGAAGACAATTTGACAGAATAGATGTTAACTAAAGATCCAGCATCGGAAAAACATATCAGAGGAATAAGGCAGACATCACTAAGTCGTCCTAAGACAAAGTATTCTGAGCCTCACGGGAGGGCAGCACGTTCACAACCCCAAAGGCCTTCTCATCTGCCCACAAACTTCCCAACAAGTAGAAAAGGGGAAACACAAGTTTTAAAATGGTGAAGTAAATACACCACATTTTTACCTACATGTCCATGGCACACCACTAATGATAAATGGAGTGTACGTGTGTGGGCTTGTGAAGGGTTCAGAAATTCCAGCACCAGTGCAGACGGTTAAGCATAGACCAGTACCCTGAATTATTGACAAGTTTTCTGCTGAAGCCCTATAACACCCCAAGCGCATTCTGGGGGGGAACAGCATTAAACAGAGAAATCAATATGGTTTTTTAAAAAAGGTAACAAAGGATACTTACTTCATTGTTTGCTATTTCGCTTGGTGTTGGCCAATTTGTGATATCACCAAAATCACCAGCCTGCAAAGATGACAAACAGTTTATACTACTTCCTAGATTTAGTCCTTTTTCATAGATGGAAGATGTCAGTCATGACTCAGATGGCCAGACTACCCCTCTGAGCAGAACTGTTAGAAGCAGCAATTTTTAAAAACTGAGAAATACAACAGAAAACACACAACTTTTGAAAACAGAGTACGATCAATTGTAGAAACAACTGTCCATTGCAGTTACATCCAAATCAAGGTCCAACACATCTTAGCTTGTAATTAGTATAATTGTCTAAAGAATGCCTTCATGAAGAATACTTTAAGTGAGCACAGCCAAAAAAAGATAGCAAGAAAGCAAAATTTTCTACATTCTATTATAAAACAAATTAAGAGGGCTTATGACTTATGAGCACACATAACTTTTAATCTGAAAATTGTTTTATCTTACACATGGCTTCCTATGTGATTTAAAGGTATCTACTGCTTAAAAGTCTTTTAGCTTTTGGAAGACCTTTGAGCACAGGTATTATTCAACCAAAAACGGCCTGGCTGTACATAATTTTAGAAACTTAGTTTTTCAGTAAAAGGATTCAGTATCTCCTGTTGTCATAATAATTTTAGAACAGCACATAAAACACACACATCACACAATATGCAAAAAGTATTTTCAAAACCAATCTAGCATCGCTTGTGCTGAAGTGATGTTGTTTCTTTGCAGCCCCTTCACATTTTTATATAATCCCATTGCTTTAAAACAAAAGTGCTTTTCCTTATCCCTCATACATGTACCATTTTACCATCCCTTCTAATTTCAAATTTCCCTTCCACTTTTACTTTTCTCTGTCTTCAGAATTAACCACTACCAAGGCAGAACATAACAGTTCTGTTTCTAGCTTCAAAATATCTTGCTATCTTTTTATTTTAGTAATATCAGCTATTTACCATATTGAATATTTACACCCAGAAATACTCCTTTGAAATTATTTCATTTTCCTACCATATTATCAGTTGAGCTAAATGCCAGTTTAGATTAACAGGCTAGATTAAGTGGGACTTCTAACACAATCAGTCCAGTAATTTATAGCTAAATGTCCTTCTGGCAAATACAAACCTTGCTGCATTTCCTTGTCCTGGGTTTCACCGCTCTTATAACGTTAGTGGAATTTTGTAGTTCTGAAAGGAAGAAAAATATTTTCAGGTGTGGAATTAGACTGCACTTTAAAAGAGTAAGGAAAGTATACTTTAACAACTCTGTTTAACTATCTATCACACTACACCAAAGTTTTTTTCAGGCCTTGGTATCGAAGTCAATGAACATTTCCATAAAGTAACTAATAGTACCTGACATTGAAAAACTCACATTCATAACGAGTCTAAATAATCTTGAAAACCATGTGTACAGGGTACTGTATAACACACTATTTAAGCATTTGCTCGGCTATAAGGTCAAGACTATCTCAAAATGCTGGTATTCTAACCTAAGAAGTAGCAAAGAAAACAAGCTTCTGAGACACATTTAAAAAGTTATCCTATTAGAGGTTATATATATTTGTAAGACAGAATTAATTTACAAAATCTATCATTATGCAAGCATGAAAAAACACAGAAGCAATTACATAGTCACAAATTCCTAGTAATTTCCTTTTATAAGCAACTACTCAAATGCCAAATAAAATTTAGCCATATTGCTCATAATCAAGCCAAAGCAATGAAAAAAAAAAATCAAGAAAGATGAAAAGAAAAAGTTAATATAAAAACTACGTTAAGACTAATAAATTTTAATGCCCATATTCCATAAAGGATATGTTTATGATAAAAATAAGCATTTGAAACAAAGCTGACACCCATACATTTTCAGAACCATCCTGAGTCAAGACCTAAACTTTATAATAACGATCCTACCTGATGACCTGAAAGAGGTTCCATTATACTTCTACCAGTAATATCTGCCAGGAATTAATATAATGCTTGGAAATAACTCACTCTCTCATATATGGCAACATTATTGGGCCTAACGATCCAGGATCAATAACCTACATTAAAAAAGTCTATTTAAACTAACTACTTCTTTTAATACATGTGCAATTACCCTTCTGTACGTGAATTCGATTTTCTTATTCTGTGCAGTTTTTCCCTACCCATCTCAATTGTGTTCTACTTTTTGCATTGAGAATTCAGGGGGGGAAAAAACCACTAGTACCAGGCAATTTTTCCTTGGAGATTAGAATTGAGACAGGGGAAACCACCTCCTAACTTCTCCTGTTAAGCCCTGGTTCTGTTCTCCCTATGTGTGTTTTCCCATAGAGAAGTGGTCACAACCTTTCCTTGAAATTGCAGTATCTTATTGCAAGACAAGTTTGAAACACCGAACATGACTGAAATCAGTAGTGGATTATTATTTCATACAGGGATAACATCACCTCCTCGACCCTTCTCTTTGACATCCACTGCCCAATCTTCCTTATCGCAGCTCCGCACTGGGAACCCCACCCTTCTGCCCCGGGGACTCCGAAAACCCTCTCTGCCTGCTTCCTGGAATACACGGTGAACGTTATAGCATAAATTAATGTATACTCCGTATTCCACCGTAAATTATATTCATACTGCTATATACAACGCGCACATCACACAAGACATGTCAATTCAGTGAATCCTGATCGGCCTTCGACCTTTGCTGCACCATTTACCAACAGGGTTTGTTTTTTCCCCTCTCCTACAGAACTGCTTTTGAAGACAAAGACAAAGCACATCCCCGTAAACTGCCTCTTTCTTGTTATTCAGCCCCAATTAACTTTAGACAGAGAGCTTTCAGAAACACACAGTGACCACGCAATCCTAATTTTTACTTGTCCTTCAGTAGTAAACTAATTGCCCTTTACAAAACAAGACAAACAGCTGTAGAGGTGCAGTAGCAAACAAATTTGTAATTTTCTCCAACAAAACTGCCAATTATCTGTAAGGTAAACCGACTGGCCGTAGCATTTGTCCTCCAGCAGCCTGTAAACACGCATCTCTCTTTAGCTGTTCAATTACCTTACTGAAGCTCTTTTTCCATCTCACAGCACTTTTACTTAAATTGCTGCTGAAGGACTGCTCTGCCAGAACTTCTACTCTCTGTGTCACCAGGGCGTAGCAAGGGATTCAAAAACAAAAGACTCAACGTCACTGCACTATCTTACTCATGGGATACTATTCCAGGAGGCAGGAGAGGCTATCTGAATCCAGTAGAATGAGACCCAACTCGTTTCAAGGAATCTCTCTTATCTGTATGTAGTCATCCAAGACTTGGAAGATGCATTTGCACACTAAATGAAAAGAAAAGTAGCATTAGGCAACACACCACCCAGTTGATGCCCTTTCTGAAGTCAAAGGCCCAAGATCTCGCCACACTCTGTACTTCCCAACCCAAAAACAACCCCTGAGAGATTCTTGTCCTCCCAAAAGAGCCATGCTCAAAACAAAATTTAACTGATCTTTCCCGACCGGTTTTCTGGGGCTTATCGTGTGGGACTTGGATTTTAGTGTGAAGCACGAAAGCGAAGAGAAAAAAAAAAAGAGGGTGGGAGAATAAAAGAAGAAAACATCAGATCACTTAAAGGTTTTACCCAGGTCACATCAGCTATGTTGTTATTAACAGGCCTAGAGCCACTGTGCAGGCAAGTCTCTAGAGTGCATTTGGATAAAAGCTCTATGCTTAACACTACTCCAGGGTTTGGTTTCAACATCACCTAACAGTGCTGAAAACCCAGAAATGGCATCTTTAGTATGTGCTCCAGGAGAACCCAAGAAGCCCTTGCAAATAAATATTTCACTTATCGTTCATTCCAACCTAACTGTATTAAAATGGCTTATTCAGTCATATGCGACAAGGTAACCTGTTTAGTAACGGCATGCTGTGTCCACGAAAGAACTCAGTTATCTTCAATTACTTTACTTGCTGGGTTTCCGCTGAGTTTTGAGCAGGTAGGGAAAAACAATAAAATCAAGTTTAATTGCCAATGATCATCTTTCAATCACGGAACTCCATCCAGTAAAGATGCCATCCATGTGAAAACAGAAATCAGCCTTCAAAGCCATTTTTATACGGTTCTTCCTAGTCTCTTAACACACCACATCCTAACACGAGATATTTTCCGCAGAGAGACATGGATGTGCAAACATGCCAAGTGCAATATGCCAAGATACAGAGGGTGACGGGTCTGAAAAATTAAAGATTAATTTTGGAACCACCAAAACAGCAGCAATCCTCTGGGACAACAGCAAGAGAAAAGGAGAGGCAGACTGGATGCTGTGCAGGGATAAAAGCAGCAAGGTTTGTACAAAAAGACTTATCACCAAAATATCATTGATTACAACGCAAGTTACATTCACAGTAGTAGTATTTCAGAACGGGTGGTTTGAAGTTCTGTAAATAACTAGTCAGCAAGTAATTCTTTTCTGATAGAAAGGGAGGGATGATACTGCCAATTCCTTCTGAAAGCAAAGTCTATTAATAAAGGTGCAACACATTCTAATTTTGATACAAATGCGGTTCATGCTCTAAGGATTTCTAGACAATATTCAAGTTTTATTTTTAACTGGACTGCACGTGCATTTCCTTCAGCCAAAGAACAACACTGCGCAAATACCAGAAGTGCTTCGGGAGGCGGCTGAAATCACCCAGCAGAACAGCTCTCCAGAACTACCGTGGAACATCTTTGTTGAACTCGTACATTTTCCTTTCACTGCTCAGTGTGAAACTTCTCAGTATAATCCATTTTTAAATAAGGTGAGCTATAGTTAAATTTATTGTTTTAACAGATAAACGTGAAAGTCTTGCAAGTGTGACAAAACAATCCTTTGGAGTACACAATAATTTAAATCTAGAACATGGGTTTAGATCTAAGATTCTAGGAAATAAGAAACCCAGTAATTATGCTAACGTCCTTTCCTACAATAGTTCTAGCTTTTTATAGCAAAACTACATTAGAGGGACCTTCTTCACACTATTTGAACAACTAACCAAGGCAGTGAGTTACGACACCTGCATCCTTCCACCTATTACCAGTCAGTTTTTCAAAACAACAAGCAATAGGGAACAAAAATCTCCAGTACATGATTGATTAATCATTAAACTACTTATTCTCCTTGCATTTCACCTATCTCATTTTTTCCTTAGCTTCTTCATAGAAAGCTGCAACCTGTGTCTCAATTTCTACAAAAGCTTTCACGGTCTAAAGGGAGCACTGGCTAGAGCACAGAAAGCCAGCACCGTGCCTTGGACTCCGGGCACCAGGATGGATTTCCCTCTCATAACAGGTCTCCAGTTTAGAAACAAACCAACAAACAAAACTCTACCATACAACATGACATACGCTGTTACAGCCAACTAAAAATACAGACAGCAGGTTTGTAAAGATAATGTTTTTAATCCCTCCAGGGTCGGGATAATTGTCAATGTTGCACTTTCTGATAATTCTTTAAATAGTTTCTAAAAGCTGCTATTAAAACACTCAGTGAATTCATAAGAACTAACAATACTATCTGCCTCAGATACACCAAAAAAATTAATAATCAGATCATTTACCAATTTACTAATCAAAAGCGTGCTATTCCTACACAGAGTATTTCCTCCACACAGCATAGATATGCTATTCCTATACACAGTATACCTTTTCTAAACTGTATGTTGACAACCTGTTTTGCTAACAGACAAAAGCAAATTCATTCATACAATAGCACTACAGTGAACTGGTTCTGCTACCAAAATGTCAGTCGGATAAAAGGTGTTCCTTGATGCCCAGAAATAAAGACAATGAAGACAGACAAAGTGAGCGCAATATAAAAGACTGAAGTGTGCAGGTATTTTACTTAACTACATCCTTCAAGCACATGAGGAAGCAAACCCACTTCAACCACTTAAGCAGCACAGGTATTTTGCTTCATTGAATACTTTCATAAATTTCATGAACAATTTTTGAATAATTATCTAATGAGTCATTAGAGATGCACACCAGCTATACAAATCACATGAAGACTTGAAAACTTGTCATTCGGATTTCCCTTTTGCAACCCTACAAAAAAAGGGCAGCACTTTAGGTTTCATCATACAAATAGGCAGGAGAGCTTTTGTAATAAAATTATTTCAACAGCTCCATCCTGGGTAAATTATTTATACGGAGGAAGGGTAACTAGCCTCTCCTGTGAGAGCCCAGCTCCGAGGGGCAGCTGAGGAAAAACAAGGAACACAGGACTAACGCTGGGTTGTTCGGCAGCTTTTGTACGGACACATCGTGTTGGCTCAATTTACAAAAAGCTTATCTTGTTAGTATCAGAAGATTACAATTATATTATAATTATCTACAAGATTACTTCTTCCTTGCAACCATTCCTCTCCTCTTACTCACAGAGCTTCAACTTACTGAAGACTTACTGCAATATATCGGCCAGGGAAGGCAAGGGGAGGAAGACACATCGCAGAAGTACTTTTCATCATCTGACAGCCTGTCCTAAAGCTAACTCCCTGCGTTCACCATCGCCAGGATTAGACAGAAGCCTATGAAATTCACTAACAATTTTATACTGCTACGAGTCTTTCTCCATGAGTTAAATGCAGATGAGGATGTAAAAGTAGCTGTGTAATTCTGAAGTTATTCTGCTTAAAAGAAAAAATTAATAAAGGCTCAGTCAGAACCACAGAACTGCGGCAACAAACACACTATGAAAAATTCAAATGTTTACATTAGGTGTTTGGCTTACTGTAACACGATTAAAACCTACTAACATCAGAGACAAAAATACAATAGGTCATAGTAACAACGCTTTGACCGAATTCTTTCGCCAAGAATTTTAACCCTTTGACGTTACTTTTTTTCCTTCTAGTGTCAGGTGACGTTAGCAGTTTCCTTCAGTAACAAGAGTCAGGTTTGCCTCTATTACAAACTAATACCACGCTAAATTGAAAGTCAAAAGATGACAGACCGGGGTCAATTTTCTCAAGCGCGTAACTATCACTGAACACACCATACGTGCACGTCTCGGGAAACTTTCAACAAATTAAGCCAGGATCAACAAGTCAAACAGGATTCAGTCACTACTTTGATGCAAGATTCTTTTACGTTTTATTATCCTCTTCACGGACAGTTTTACATTCCATTCCAGTAGCATTTCGATTCATCTACTTATTATTTTACATGACTAATTTCCATACTACTACATTCATAAGGGCCTAGCGTGACTGATTTCGCTTTGCCAACGTGCAATTAGTTACTTCAAAATACATCCCTCGTTGTAGACGGAGGCACATGGCAATCGCTTCCTTCAAACAGCCAGGAAAGATCAGCTGCTTTGTCGTTGTTACAAGG